CTCTGTAGGCACGCATGCCTGCGGGACGATAAGTTTGTCATAGCCAATTTATACAATTGGCACAGCGAGCTCCTACGGTATTCGCCACTGGGGAGCAACGAATTTATGGCTAATGTCCCACCCTCCATTCCCGTCGTACGTCTTTTCGTGTGAAAAAAAATAACCGCTATTCACCCGCGCAGGGGAATGATGGCACGTCGCGGTTAAGACCAGTCACGATGTTTCAAACTGGTTGTAATGCGTCGGTACTATGATTAATTCCAACTGATCCCCAATATCAATTCAGTACATTTGTTTTAAGGAAATGCATATTATTCTATCGTATTTTAATTGCTATTATTTGTTGCTTGCTATATTAATGTGTACTTATGTTACACGCGTATAGAAATTAAAACTGCACAGAAAATCTCATCGACTGAATTAAATGTATAGACAACGTGTAGCCTTATGTATAATAAGCACGATTCAAATTACCACTCGATAGTGTTTGTTTTGATTACGCGAGTGCCACGAGCTTCACCCTTTTGTACGACCCTCCACACGATCGGTATTCACAAGTCGGACAGATCCCTCCGATCGGCGGCAGGGACATGTGTCACGGTGAACGATAGGTCGCCCGGAAATAGCTGTTTAAAATTGCATCGAGGGCTCAACCGTTAGAGGCACGTGCGCTTTTTAATGTCTCGACGAATGCTTACGATAATGTCCTTTAAGCTTTTATTAACGGTTAACGGCGGTACGTGGCCCGAATCGCCACGGCCATTCGCATGCGACATCACGTCTCCTCCTACGGGAGATCTGATAACACGTAAGACATTTATTTTCTCTTCGGGATCCGCCACCGACCTGCCGATTCATTTCATTTGTAATCTTCCCTCTGGACACGATTTTTTACCTTTCACGACCTTTTCTCTTCAGTTTGACAGTGATGCTTGCGCTCTAATATTATTTTAAACAACCATAAATATCACGATATACTTATTCTTATGAAAGATTAATAAATCGTAAAAACAAACTTAGACATCAATTAATATAATAATTGAAAGTCAAATCAATCTTATTGTGGATACGAAAAGAGAATGTTGTACAAAATCTCGAAAAGATAGAACTGGATTTTTCTAGTAACGATGTCAGGTCTGAGAAGTTGAAAGAATCTGAGGAACACGCAACGCGTGAGTTTAGTGGTTACCGATCAATACGGGGAGGCAATCGAAAAGAGAAAAGAGAAGTGTCCATTATGGCATTAAGCGAGCGAGTGGGGTCTCCGGTCTCCTGGGGAAGAAAAGTTTTGGCAATGATTAACCGGACTCCGCACTACCGCTTCGATGAGTCGTCCAAACTCGCCAGACTTGATTTGCGGAGAACTAATTCTGTATGCCGAAATGTGATGTAACTTTTGTCTCCTTCCATAGAATTAATACACTAACTTGTAATATTTTTATACAAACAAAGTTTATTACAGAAATATTGATAAAATTTATGCATTAAATATATGTATTACTATATATATGTGTATTATTACAACTCCTTGTTTTATAATTGTATTTCAGATTATAACTGAAAGTGTAATAGAAAGATTCTATTCTCTGTAGAATGGAAAGGATTTATTGAAACGAAGCACAGTTGATTTTATGAAATAATGAAACGCAATGCAGGATCATTCACGCTCGCATTATCTGATTGAAGTTAGCAAAAAGGTGGTTATTGGGGAAAAAGTAGAGAAACGAGTCCGGAAAAGCAGACAGTCTGGCGAACCTATTGGTGAAAACCGTAGAAAGACCATTCGGCGCAAGAATTACAAAAGGTTCCGGGAGGTGCCGGGAGTTCATTATCATCCGGCTTCTCCTCAAAATTCGCCAAGTGTTCGCGATTGCGTGAAATATCGTCTAACCTTCGACACGTATCATGTTGCGAGGTCCCCTCGGTTCCGTCGCGCTTCTACGGCGTATGCTGAGCCCCATTTTCAGAAGGGCCGTGACTACCAGTAAGTTATCTTATTTTCACATTAATTCGGACGATGTATAAATCTACTGCCAAAAATTTATTAATTCATTCTCATGCTATATCGTATGTTGCATTCGATGATACAATTTTCATATTTACTGAGGAATTACTATAATCAATTTGCAAAAGCGTCCTTAAATTTCTTGTTTTCGGAAATTATATATAAACGAAATAAATGTTGCAGCATCGGTCAGATATGCCGACGATAAAGGGAGAAAAAAATCGGACGGGATGTTCTCATGGCTAAGGGAAATGCTAAGACCGGGTAATAAAATCAAACTTTCTTATTTTTTTTATAACTTAGTTTAGTTCCTCGCATGATTGCGTTATCACGTCTTAAAAACGCATAGACATATGAAACAGTAGTCGATCTCAGCGCTAATGTAACACTTTGTAGACACTAAGGCCAGCGAAGCTCTAATCGCGGTTGATCAGCCCGAGGCGACAACGTTCGATATCGATTTTGCGGCTAACGGCACGGCGTTCTCGTCTAATTTCAAATTCGAGGACGCGACAGATCGAGACTCTGGTATCGCGGAAAGATCACCCGCGAAACTACCGGAACCTTGCAACTCTACGGCGTCGATATTGTCAAACAGGACAAACTTCTGCGTAAATCTTACAAAGTTGGAATCGAAAGTCGACGAGAACGACTTTCCGTTATTGATCAGGGACAATTTGATCAACAACATGAGTTTCGGGCAACGACAACGAATTTCCCTCCTGCGGCACGATTTTCTTACCCTGAGCAGTCCCTTTCGGACGATCGTCGGTTGCACTCCGAGGAACACGAAGCCGCCTATCAGGGAGCCGAACATGCCCGAGAAACAGGAGAAAAAGGACAAGGAGAAGGAGAAGAAACAAAAGAAACCGGTGATACGAATGAAGGGCGGACTCACTGACGGCAGTGAGAAAGACGTCAAGACAGAAGCGGAAAGCAGTCTGCGTGACAACATGGACGTGAACTTCAAATGTCAGTGGGGCATCAGAATCCCAGAAGAAGTAGGGACTGCGTATGCGGAATCGAGTCAGAAGTGGAGCGCGGATATGCAACAAACGAGAGACGCTTCGTACTTCGTCGGTGACACGAATTATTCCAATTACCAACCCACTTGTGGATATTCGATGGACGCCATGGAGACGATGAAGGGTATGAAATTCAGTATGAGTTCCGCGGATGACAAGGGAAACACCAAAGCTAAGACCGAAGAACAAAAACCTGAGCAAGCTACTACCTCCAGTGGTGTAAAAGAGAACAAGGATGCCGACGAATTTATAAAGAATATATTGAGAACCCCGTCCGTCGTGATGAAGGAAACCAGTGCGACGAGCGAAGACTACAACGTTCCCATCAACACGAACTTTGACGCCGAGATCACCGCGTGGAAAGAACTTGTTCAGAAATCGAAGGTTCCGATAGACGCGGCTAAGGAGTTTAATGCGCAAATGAGCTCAGACGCTCCCAGAACCGCAGAGATGTTGACGATCAGACCGGAACCACCGCGACCGAAACTAGACATCCGAGCGGTGCGTTCTATGGACGAATTGATAAAGGAAGAGGAGGAAGACGAAGTGCCCTCGGACGTGAAAGCAAAACCGGTAGAACTAAAGCGAGATGCGACTTCTGCAGATATCCAAAAGGTGGATAGCAAGAAAATGCACACAGCGGCGCCTTGCTATCTGAAACGGAACAGCGACAGTGGTTACGATTTTAAACGAAAATACAGATTTCCCTCACACTCGTGGAGGATGGAATCCGATGATCATGTGCACGATCCGAAATACGTGGCTGCCGATTTTTCTACCAGCACCGAGGGTGGTTACGAGAACGTTCAACAGAACGTCGCAAAAGGTGCGGGAGGAGTAAGGCCCGACGAGCCCGAGGCTAATTCTACGAGGAGTCAAGACATAGAGAGGAGCAACGTTCCTATGGAAAGTTTAGCACCGCAGGATATCCAACCGGAACAAATTGTAGATTCGGAGTTTGGGGACAGTTTACATCCCATCGCCGAGAGGGAAATCGAAATGTCTTTAAGTCAGCCGACTCAGGAGAATCAGGAAATGCGTGAACGTCAAGTGGCTTCGAAAAAATACGAGGTTGAGCAAGAGATGCGCGATCAATCCGACGATTTTCAAGGGAACTTCGAGTACACGTCGCCCTACGAAGATGATTTCTATCCTGGCTACGAGTCGATGTCGCTGGAACCAATTGCAGGTAAAATCGATCATTTATTTGAAATGGGTAAATTTATTTGAAATCTGTTGTCATGCTTTCTAACTTTGTTTGTAGAAAGACCAAATTTGGAGAAGCAGCCGCAGCAGGCCAGCGTGCGGGATGAAGAGCAGGACGACAGAGAAATGTACGCTAAAAATGCGAAAGAAGCGGAGAACATAAGTGAGTACGTTACAGAGGGAAATTACGTGAGAGTGCCCGGTGATCCCTACCCCTATAGCAAAGAGCACTTCCAAAAATGGCGTCTCCACCACGAGGACATTCGTATCGGGCCCATCAGTTGTTTAGACAAAGAACCGCTGATAAATACACCGATCGCTGATTCGAGCACTTCACAAAGTGTGGATGTTCAGCAACCAGCTCGTAAAATGTCTTACTATTCTCGCCTTCGACCGACGCGAGGCATATTCGTCCGTCGATAAAAAGTAAAACCGCCAAGTCACGTTCGTACATTTTTATCGATATCTCGAAATTCCTTGGTATTCGAACGAATCATTCGCTAACTAAAGTCTCCGTTTGCGTACGTTGATTCGTCGAGGTTGTTAGGCTTCAATTTAATGAAACGTGTTGCGAACTAAAGCTTGTATCCGAGCGTCCTTTCCTTTGTGATTAGATAAATTATGGTTACCCTGTCCAAAATATTCTGTCTAGAGACAAAAATAAACGTTAGTGAAATAAAAATTATAGTCCAAGTAATCCATTGTTTCTTCGTTTAAATATCTATTGTATCTTCGCCGATTATATCTAGACGCCATAATCAGACTATCCGAAGCCACGAAGGCGAGTAGAGCTTAGCTGTCTCTTCGGATCGGTAATTAATATCTTCTCGCAGCCTGCAAAACGTCGTGAAACATCAAACGAGATTTTTGCAAAGTCAAAAACAAAACGTCCGTCGATGAAACAACGATACATCTCGGAGATACCGCCGACAGAATCGTCACGAAGAAGTATCGCAACTTCTTGATGAGCGTTGACCACAGATCAAAGGGCTGCTTAGCTCATCATTGATCTTTTTTCGTTCTTGCTCACTGTCTCAAGACTCCGAGAACATTTGCAATAAATGTTTAAAATAAAGGTTCGAAAATAATCGTAATATTTTGTATAACGTATATACATTTGTTAAGTACACTCTACTTTCAGTTTGGATAATTTCTGATAAGATACAGTATAATTATTCGTGTCATATTAGCGCTGATTATCGTCAACTGGTTTTACTTGAGACATACATCTTAATTTGATTGAAATCATTTTATGATAATTTTCTATAACTAAACTTCTTTATATAAAATTGTGAATCACCTGCAGCCGAAAGTTACGTTCCAAGAAACCCCGGAAATCCGTCGAATCCAACTAATTCAGATTCAAATCCGTCGAATTCTTTGGATCCATGGGTTACACCGAATCCAAAGAATCCATCAAATCTAATGAATCCATCGAGTTCGTCGAACCCATCGAATCCGTCGAAACTCTCGAATCCATCGGGTTCACCGAAACCATCGAGACGATCAAACCCATCGGAACCACCGAAGTCTTATTATTCATCAAACCCTGGCAGTATGCCGCCACCGATAGATTTTAACGCGGGAGATATTGAAGATAAGCTTGGGATAGAAGATTTAAAGAAACATAAAGATCCAGTCCACGTGGAGACGATTCAACCAAATTTAAATTATCCTATGCAAGGTGGCGGAAATCCAGCTATTTCCAAGCGTCAAATAAAAAGCAGTAGTAGGTTTCAATTGATTCTAAAACTAACATACACATATTGAGGTTTTATTTTTATTCCTAGCTGGTGATAATAGTTCGTTGGTTGAAGACCCAGAGACTGTCAATTTGATTAAAGGAGAAAAGGATATTGATGACACACGTATTCATACAATGAGAAACCAAGAATTACTATGTACGTATATATCCATCAGCTTTACTGTACTTAAAATGAAACTCTCATCTTTTAGTATAGTTTTATAGTATATTTATTTATTATTCCTTGTAGCGGTGGAAGGACAAGTGATCCGAGAAATTTACGAAGCGAAAAATTATGCCTATCTTCGACCGGAGGAGATGAAGAATTTGCGATTAGTTTCAAGACCAAGACCTCCGACTACAGAATCAAATACCACTACTACACCTGTCGAACAAAGTTGAACCATCATAAAATCATAAACGCAATTTATATGTCCTGTCTGACGTTCCAATTCCAATATCTAAAATTCTTACGTATTTAAAAAAATAAACAATAAAAAGTTTGCACAAATATAACTCTTTTATTATGGTAGATTAAAATTCGTAAAAAATGACTGATAGCTTAACTTTACAATGTTAATGCATGTGGTTGATTGGCAGACCTGATATCGGCCATTTAAAAAATGCAGTAGCCCGCAAATTAAAATCAGTTTATTCTCAACCAAGCTAAACGCGTCACCTCAAACTCGTGTTCGGCCAATAACGTTATCACAGTATGGAATAATATCTGCGGAACGTACCTACCTCATGCTTCGTAAATCGTTCAGTTCGCGTCGCGACTTAATCCGTGGCTACCCAAACGACTCGATTTAACATTACGTATTCTCGATTTCTCTCTACGAAAAAAACTTAACCTAACTCGACATCTGGGAACAACTACGAAAACCTGTAGTTTCTCTGAATCGGACTCAGTGCATGGACAATAACGGATTTTCCACTGTTTCCAGCTCAGGTAAGTCTTTAACCTTAAAAATGTCACGAATCATACGTTAAGACTATATAAAACCACGTTTAATCTCGACGCACCTGCTGAATCAACGGATACGAGGAAAACTGGTATGGGATGATAAGATGTGGAACGATCGACTGGGTCATCGGGGAACGGACAGTAACGTATAGTTAGAGTAGAGACGGTTCGGGGCGGGTTTCTTTGGCGAACTATCAACCCGCGGCGCGAGATGCGTGCCTACCGGTCACGAACGTGTGCCCGGAGGCTGTTATTTCGCCTCCGGGAACGCAGTGATTTCCGAATCGGGCTCTATCTAATCATTCAAATCGCGGCAACCCGTCTAATCGCGGCGTACGCAATCGTGGCCACCACTGCCCATCGGTCTACCTGCTTGGTTCCAGACCTCGACTTCCAATAACGCAATAACGCGCCGGGGAATAATGCTAGATTGCCGGGGTTGATTGCTCCTCTCTTCCGTCGAAGGGAACTCGTTCGCCTCGTGGATACGCGGTGGCCGCAGAAAGCGTCGTCGCCACGCACACACGCCTGTTCATTTTCTACCTCAATTAAACCGATATAAAAGATCGAACGAAATTATGGAAGCGCGCAACACGAAAGCGAACGGACATCGGCAGACAGATGAGGACTTTAGAAAAGTTTAAACAGCAATATCCGTAAAGTGAAAACACGCGGGTTATTTCGTTGTACGACCACAAACATATCGAGTGACTCGCTCCATCAATCCTGCTTCCTACCGAACGTAACCAACCTTTATTAAAAGAAAAAATTCGAGCACGTCGAATCGGCTGGCTCGTTTCTCAAATGACTTACAAGTTTCGCACAGCGAATCGGACGCGACGCGGAAATCGGTTAGGATCCTACGAGGAAATCGCTTAAGTACTCACGTGACGCGTTTCAGGTTCCCCGCAGAGATATAAAAAAGAACTCGAAGATAAAACTGAAGCGTACGAAGATAAAAATTGTAATACGCACTGGAGATGCTATTTATTTAAATACGTACTGTTTTTAATACCGGATTTGTTTCTAAAATATCCGTTTCATTCGCCTCACTGCGAGATTCATCGGCAATGACAAGATTATGCAGTCACTGGTCAGGTGCGACGTTATCGCTCCGCTATTCCCTGCTCGCAACGTCCGGACGTCGATATTACTCTTTGGTTGTTTATTTACGCGAGCAACGGCTCCGCAGTAACGAGTTTCGCACGATCAACGACGTTGATTTCTGCCCGGGGAAGGAATCGCGCCGCGGCAATCAGACAGCTCGTCGTTCTCGATTTTTCCAATCTTCACGACGCGACGGTTTTCTTCACCACGGGATGCGATTGAAGGGAATCGAATGTACCGTTCGATCCAATTTTTAGGTTAATAAAGTAGGAGATACATGCGGTTATGCAACAACATCCACGGTAGATTATAACCGCGACGTAGATTTGTTGCCTGTCGCGACGATATATTATTTGAAGCTGTTAGGCAATCGCGATCGAGGGTAATAAACCTGGTAATTGAGGTGTAAGCAGCGAATTAACCAGCGATAAGATTTACTAGCTAACAAATTTCAACGTTAATTTGTGACCAACGTTACATGTTTTTAATTGGCAAATTTACAAGCATCGGTATACGTATTAAGTGCTAATGAACCTATACCTTTTTCATTCTATCTGATAGTTTGTTATTCTAATTTACTTTTAGTCTTGTGTGTTTAGGTATTGTATTCGAAGAAGAAATCTTGGAATGCTCATAAATTCTACAGTCGTTAAAATCTCAGCGTATGTGGTAGTACGCGAACCGAGGGACACAATGATTAGGGAGTGAAATAGTTAGCGGCGTTGGTCCACAGTTGGTTGGCATTGGTAGCAGACACGCGGATTTTATTTACGGCTAGAACCGCTGACTGGCGACTGCTCCGGGTTCGCTCCTCCTTGACCCCATCCCCGGTTCTGGACCGGGGGCCGCGCGGGGGTTAGAAACCGATTCCTATCTTTCCTCTCTGCGGATCATTCCCTTCGCGTACCGACCGCGCTATAAAAGATCGCCCTATGGTTGTATATTACTCACGCCACCGTGTTTTCACTTGGTGCGGCGATCGCCGCCGATATCATAACTCCTTGTCGTACCGTCGTTCAACCAGCAAATCCGCTCCCGACGCGAACGACCCGGGGCCTCCGCCTCGCTCTCATCTCGCCCTGATAGCAATTCCGATACGGACGGTAGCCCTGTAACGCGAGGACGAATATCGCGATTAGATTAAATTTTCATCGTGCCGAAGCTTCTCGCGCCTTTTCCTCGGCTGACTGTTACAAACTCGGCTATGGACGAGCATTTAATTCTCCGCAGCATCGTCTATAACTCAAAACCAACCCGCCATTTACAATATTTACGTGTCTCGTGTCGATTTCCTGATCGAGAACGAACCGCGACTTGAATTGTGGTTTAATTCTGAACTACGTGGGAAGAAGAGAAACCTTGCATGAGATATAAATAGAAAACACATTTTAAATATAAATGTATTTGCAATTAGTTTGATCAAAATAATTCAATACTAATAACAAGGATAATTATGTACAAATAATTACATCCGCTGATCAGATAACTAATACAAACACGGTCAATATGATCATTAACACACGTAAACGAGTCTAAGTAAATGAAACTGATCCATTTACTGTATCTATTTTATGTGAATTTTCGATGGATAGTATTTTTTTTACTTGTTTTCTCTCTATAGTAATTCTGTATGCGTTATACGTTAGACAAGGAACGGTGAATCTGTGACGGGACACCGAAATAGATGGTTTACAACTTCCCTTAAAACACGCGAACGTTTACGCGCGAATTCCCGAAAGTAAATCGAGGAAGAATGTTTTCGCAACGACGCGAAGCCAACTAAAACGCTAGGGGCGGCCTAACGCGTCGAATCATCCACTTGGTTATTATTAATAACGCGAACATCGGGTTTCGTTTACGACGTGTCGCTCGATTAAGAAACGTTCCTCTTGGTTCGCGCCCAGCCATCGCCCGTCTAATTGCTCGTGTAATTTCTACGTAAACGGTTCCACGCCTGTCTCGTCATAATTCATTGATCAGATTTCTGATCAAAGAGCGAGTTAATAAGAAATATATGTAATAACTTTTTCTTCAAGTACTACATCGAAGTAGATTATATTTTATTATATATTTTTATGTTATACAGAGTGTATAATACATGATTACATTATGTAATGGGGGTCATGGATCGTGTCCAATATTTGAAACAATGAACTTTTAGAAGAAATGATGATTACAGATTACAGAATGTGAATTTTTATTACTGCAAGATTACAGCAAGTAGCATACAAATTTTTCTCGGTCTAGAAAACACTTTATCAATTCGGAAATGTTATTCAGATTTTCTTGTTTAATAAAACCCATGGAACTTTGAGAGGCATAATAGAATCGGATTACAGATAGTTCCCTTATCTCAAATGAGGCAGAAACGAATTTACGTGTAGAACAGAAAGCACTTTGGTGGGTGACGCGATCTCGACGGCCAAGTCTTCTGGCGAGGAGTGGGTGCAAGTCACCCCTTGATCATTCGGCGCAGCGGCGTAGTGACATCACAAAAAATCACGGTGCCGCTTTCCGACCGGATATCTTTCAATTACCCGTTAATATGATAGGCGGCCGTGGGTATAGTTGCAAGTCACCGGCACGTCGTTGCCCGCAGCACGCGGGCCCGTTTCGTGATTAATCGACGTCAACCGCAGACTCTGCCGTGCAACCGCGGAGAGAAGGGGAGGATTCGTCGCGTCGTACGTTGACACGATCCCAGCGGATTTTCGTCAACCGCATGCGAGATCCGATTCTGCAATACAATCAAATCGAGTATGGTAATTTTCAAATGATTTAGCTCTTTTCACATATTCGTGCAACAGGATTCTAAATTCTTGTGCAAAATGAAACGTTCATAATGTTAATTT